GAGTTATTAACGATCAAACAGTGTGCACATTTTTTGGGGACACCCTGTATATCATATGCCCGCAACTTTGGGGTGCAGCAGCACAAATTCCGACCGCGTTCAAAAAAAAAGTCTGTTTGGCTTCTTCAAAGCGCCGCTCGAAAGATTGTGGGTGAGGTACTGCAAGGTGCTGTCAGGATGACCTGCGAAGGATTTTCAAGAGCGTTCAAATTGCTGGTTGTTTATAGCTAACCGGAAATAGACCTTAAGGATTGCTTAAAAAATGAAGGTGCCCTATTAGTTTTGAATCACCCTAGTAGATTCGCTCCCGGGAGATCCATTCCAATACGGCGCCGCGAAAGTGGGAGGGTCCCGCGCGGACAATGCAGTAGATACTCAGCCTGTGCGTGTACTGGCCAGTACACGCACAGGCTGAGTATCTACTGCATTGTCCGCGCGGGACCCTCCCACTTCGGCGACATGTAGTCCCCTGCCCCACGACTGTGATCCTCTAACGTCGTGGATGCCAACAGAGGAAAGAAACCTCAACAAGCAACATAGTTAGTATCTGCTTCTGTAGTCTCCTTGTATTGCTTTTCAATAAACTTTTCTGTAGAGTTCGATGGATTTGCAGCGCACAATACAAGCAGATACAAATCAATGTTAGGATGAGTAGAGACGTTTCCATTGTCATGATTCTCGAAAATATATCCTGGAAAAAACCTCGTTTGGAGACAACAGAGTAAATATGAAAATAATAAATATTATACTTACGTTCATCGTGGTGGCAAAATATGCGGTATTATCAAGCTCAAATTGGCTACTCAAAGAATGCTTTAGAGACAAGAGCACTTTCGAATTTGGCCAGCAACAAAAATACTGATTTGCTATCCAGCTAAGGATCAGAAATATGTTGAAGTTTATCTGCATGCTTATTCGTTTTGGAGTGTAGAAAATTGCGAAATTATTCCTAAAATACTTGATGTATATCTAGCAGAGAGAAGTCTTTTGTGGTTGACCAACTTAACAAGTACCACATGAAAAATTTGGCACTACTCCATTTTGAATGATCAAAAATCTCGATTTTTGCTCTGAGGTCATTCCACAAGCTGTGCGCAAACATCAAGGTGTCAGAATTACTTGCCCTACTACTGCATACAAATGATAGGTAATATTATACTTTTTATTTCCAAAAAAATGCATTTAGCTTTGCAAGGGTTCGGCTTGGGTGTGGCTACCGATGCGCCCTTTTTCAATTTTCAGACTGAGACCTCGCTAGAAAAATTTTATAGATGTTGTCAACAATGGGTACATTGTTGCCCCTCCTTCCCCCCCCCCTACCGCAAAAAATTTCTGGGCTCGTGCTTGTACAGTTTCAAATGCATTGAAGTAACGCGAAATTGATACCAAGTTAGTGAGCGTGTATGATAACGCCTAAGGCCCCGGGCAGACTTCACGCGATTTGATCGTCGCGACTGAATCGCGACGAGACAACTGTTACAACATCATTCCATGCCGATCAACTTGCATTCGGTTGTAATACTTTTCCAGCCCGAAATTTTTGAATGTGAAATGAAAATGAATGGAAATCGTGGCGATTAGATCGCGACGATTAAGTCGCGTGAAGTCTGTCCGGGGCCTAACAAAGTAGTCTGGACAAATTCACCTGCAAATTTGAACGTATTGATAGAGAAAATTATTTGCAGCTAGCATAAGTGAGGACATATAGATGAGACTGTAGCATAGGAAAATCGCTTGACAAATCCACCAACGTCGACCTACACCAGTAGCGACAGTGATAAAGACACCATCCACGGTAGCAGGTCTCTGTGGATCGGTAATATTATTTGAAAAATAATGCTTATATCGATTATTTCCAAACTTAAACTACTGTAGTAAACAAGTGCACTCAACGGTTGTCTGCAAGATTTTTGATTTTTATTAACTTACCGGGGCAACAATGGCATAGCAGATTGACGATGCTAAGTCTTGTACAGTCGCAACGACGAAAAACGCTTTATAAGAGGTCTCTGCTTTTATAGGAACAACAATCAAAAGCACAATAAATAGCAAGTTCAAAAATATTGCGATAGAGCATATGCAGAGCACGACAAGTCTGTAGCTATCATCCATGCTCTATAGTGCTAAATCGTTGCAATAATTGTCGTACGAATTTAGTAACGAGACAGGTGATAAAAGGGCAGAAAAATTCATTCGAAAGTGCGTTAAATAACTGTTCATGAATTGCATGTTGTTAAAGTACAAGTACAGTCATTGAAATAAACAATTACTCTGAAGGAAAGGGGACTGAGGGCAAAAAAGTGCAAAGGTCATTTTATTATTGCAAAAAAGTTCTTGCTAGTTGCATAGAAAAGGAAGTTTCTGGGGAGGATCGAGCTATAGCATAATTTCACTACAGCACACGATTACCATGTGTTGCTCATAGGTTACCAGCAGAAAGTTCATGACACGAAAGGTTACCACTTGCACAAAAAAGATGAGAATGACCTCTCTAGCCTTGCAAAAGAGAAAAGAAAATTCACTTAAAGGAGCGTCCGGGCAGATACGAAAATATAAAGTACAGGGGCACCCGTCCTGGTAAGGCTCTTGCCCAACTGGCAATGCAGCAATTTGCTTCTGAAGCAAGAAATCCGCTTCAGAAGCGGCGACCGGAACGCCCCGGCGATCTGGACAAGTCAGTTTGATAAGCCAGAGTGTCCATGCAGTCAAAACGTAGGTCCCAACAGTCCCACAAAGACTCTGCGTCTTGACCTTGATGGCAGGCGACAAAATTCAAATCGAGAGCTTCCGGAAAAGCTCGTTTTCGGCGTTTTCGTGCCCTCCAAGTTGCATTTTTAGAATCAGCGGGAGGAATAAGCCCAGGTAAGCGAAAAAAATTCCATTCGAAATTTTGCCCGAACGCTGCTTTTAAGTGCTTGGAGCAAAAAAAATTCATTGTCGGCTTAAAGCATCCTTTAACCCTTTCGGACCTGAGTTTTTGCGAGTGAGCCGAGAAGCCTCCCTCCTAGTGTTTTTTACTTATTACCATATGAATAACATTATAGCGGAGTTTGGAGTCTGCTTAACCTTATGAACTATTTCTTTTTGATTTTTCAAATTTTTGGTTTTGCGTTTATTTTGGATTTTCAAATCTCCCGCGAAACATGTGGACCCGCAATCAGTTAACAGTTACATTTGCTCAGCATCGTACTAAAACATTATGATAATATTATGAATATTTTTTGGCTAATAAACGAGATACTGAAACGGTGCTCAAGCCGGCGCAAATTATTGATTGATTGAAATCCACTTGTTTACAGAAATGTACATGTTATTCACAAAGAAGCAAATGAACACCCGGTCTCGAAGCTACATTTGGAAGGCAAAGGCTATATGAAGCGTTTGAGAGCAATGAATAGGAAATGATGTTCTTGCGCCAGTTATAGTAGATCTCTGAATTGATGGTGGCAATTGCCACCACCAGGTCCGAAAGGGTTAAACTAATACGAAAAATACAAATGTTGTTATAAGTGCCGTAGAAATTCAACACAGTTCCATTGAAGCCTAATTTTTCAATTTGGCTCCGGTATCTGCGAGCTATAGACGGATGTAAACATGAAGAACATCGGAAATTGAGAACGGAAATCTATCCGTCTACGCCTGTCCACTTCTCCTGCCGACTCGAGTGCCTTAGAACAGCAATCTCAGCGATTGCGTGCAAAAAGTCCATTTCGTGATTGAATTATTTCCGTTGAACATTTCTTTCATTCATATAACGATATCGTTTGTCCTTTCACACGCAATTTTGATTTATGGATAGTGAGCATGACATTCTTGTCGTTCATTTATGTGCTGCTTACAAGTTCGTCCCTAGAATCAGGTAAAGGTAAATTATTAAGATCTAGTTCTGTTCGACTGATCTAAAGCGATATTGCTATAGGTATAATTCTCTTAGCGTGTCTAACTGTTTTGTGAGGCCCAAAGAGTTTTCAGGAATGCCTGTATGGTTACGGTAAGTACATGGTATCTCGCACCGGGCCTGTAGGATTCAGGTAAGTAGTCAAGCAGATTGTTTCGAATTTTTCTAGAAAAACTTCACACGAATGTTATAGCTATGCCATCCCCAAGTCTGACTCATGTAGAAGCGCAAATCATGTGTCATTTACTTTGGCTGCTTCTTAGCGCCTCTCGGCCCTTGGTTCAACAGTGAAAGAGACCATGACCTTCATCTAATCCATTCAAAATTTGTACTGTGGTTTTTATTTTGCTAACGACGTCTCAAACCAGCTGTCATGAACAACGCGTGATACAAGTATCTCGAATTAAATATCTCTCTTATTAACAGCTGGAACATATACTACAATACAAGATATGAATAAAATGCCGAAGAAGCACCAGTCTTTGGCAATAGAAGCAAGTGAGATATTACCAGCATTTGAGGTATGAGTAAGATGACAAATGAGAGGAGGTACAAACAATAGAAGGTACTTTACAATTATAACTCTTAGTCTGAGTATCGCAAGAGGTACTGTACTTACAGCTAATAAAAGGTGTTCCAAAAGTACGTACACAATTTGATCACTGATATCTTTCCTATCTCTTTGGCTGTTTTCAAAGTGACATAGCAAAGGGATGGCCTCAACCTCAAATTACTTTATAGAGCGAGTCTACGGTAGATAATTCCAAGTATGTTTTAGCATCCGCAAGCCTATGCATGAATTAAGTGCACAAACTCAGAAACCCGTATTTGACTCAGTAACTGTTGTTAATTCTGACTAACCCGCAATGTTTTGCGACTCTTCCTTGAGCGAAAATTACGACGAAGTAGGAGGGCAATACCTCGAATTTCATCAAAAATTTGTTAACAATAAAGCGCTTATAATTAGATAGCGCATGTGAAATTCCAACAACGCAAGTCCTTAGTCCTTTGAGGTCCTCAGGAAACTTTTGGGATGGTGAAAATTACTATATTTTAATTTATAGCGAAAAGTGGACGATCACTCGCTCAATCTAAGTTCAGACCAACCTTTCAATATGTACCCTGGGTGAGAGGCATTGAGACAAAATATATTAGCAATCGGATATTGTGTGCATACTTTCGGGACATTCTCTTAAATCAAGTATAAACAAAACTGATCTATTATCTAACCGATTAACTTAAATACATTTTAGAGCTCAAGAGCATAAGGTGAGTTCCAATCTCTATCGAAAATAGCTTGCAGCTTCTGAACAACACCTTCACTTCCATGGTTAGTCATAGCTATTCCTACACCGGCAGTACTGATAAAATAATCGCCAGCCCAGTTGGACGTACCTAAAGATACAACATAGAATGAAATGGGAGAAAAGTTAACAAAAGTTCTCAGAAACACACGACTTACCAACATATGCTGCCTTATCCGTAACCATGTATTTGTTATGGTTGACGCGAGCAAATGGGATTCTCTTTTGCTCTTCTGTAGAAGGCACAACGAAGCGTTTCTAAAATAAAAATTCGTTAAAACTTATAAAATGCACTCAAAAAAGAAGTGAAGATTGCGAACGCTTACCACTTCTATGCTTCCTTTACCGTTTCTGGTCTTCGGTAAAGCATCATTTATGACAACGAGGCTCTTCAAAAACACGAATTCTGCGGCTCGCGAATAGGTCCAATTGCTTATGAGCAACCTAACCGAGACACCGCGAAATGCAGCACTGCGCAAGGCATCGTCAATATCTGGCCAGTAGCTGGAAGAAGCAAGGTAAGGTACCTTTCAAACCATAAATGGAAGGGGGGTACCTGTTTTTTGCCCCCATGTAAAGAGTTTGTGGTATGAGATCCATAACAGAAACACAGACTGATCGACTTGCAGAGGAAATTAAAGATAGTATAGTTTTCAAGTCATGTTCACGTCTCTTTGGATTGAAAGGTGCAGGAGAATTCTGAAATAAGCTGATCCAGCAATTTGGTTCAAAAAGAAAGTGTATTGTGCATAACCTACCGATATGAAAACCTCCGTTTCAATTCCATCCCAGATCATTTCCATAGGAGATCGCATGTTGAAGGCGGTGTCATATCCAGCTGGCCATTCTGCTGGGATTTCAGCCCATTTCTGTTAATAAAAGAGTAATGAAGGTTCAGAGTAAGCTAGAGCTTTTGCTAACTGACCCTTCCAAGATGCCAATACACCTTGAAAATTCGATCAAGATCTTTAGCCAAACACGGACAGTCTTGGATGTATAAGCCAAGCTCTTTCACCTAAATAAGCACTCTATCAGTACACCTCAGTTTTGTCCAGTTCTACCTCCGATAATGACTTCCAGTCCATATTTGCAGATCCTACATAGATGTCTTTGGTATCAGCGATTATGAATTTTGTATGTAGAACTCCGGAGCCGAGTAATCTGCGGAAGTCAACAGTCCGAACCTTAACCATTCAAAAGTTCAATGTGAGCAAAACTTTCCAGATCACAAAATTACCTGAGCAAGACCTTGTTGTTCAAGTCGGCGTGAGTCCTCATTGTCAGATATACCTTTACTGACATCTTGCGCAATTCGAATCTGCAAAGAAAACCAGAGGAATTTCTCTTCTTTATGCATAGAGATCATGACATGGCGAGATCGTATAGTGATCTACTCAATATCGCGATACGTCCATTTTAACGAGCAAGTATTGATATTATATTACTTCTATAACCATGTTTTTCCTTTCCATTGTGCTTCACACTTTTAGGAAATTATCTCCAACCTATATTAATGAAGTCAACTTCCAATCCTCGGGCTCAAAATACCGACAAGCTGATAGTGTTTTGACCTACGGCTTAGAAGAGTACGACGCTTGACCCATACACTCAGTATTCGTATAAAGGGTCGGACATACCAGGGTGGAGGACATTAGGTCGCCGAATTTGGAAGAGTCCCGCGCGGATTCCCTGCAGGAATGCATGTCCGCGCATGTACAGAGGTGCGTATTTGTCGCAAATGACCGCGGGGACCGCCCTTTTTCGGCGACCTAATGTCCTCCACCCATCAAAGAGCACTCGCGCGAGAGGGACGCAGGTGCGTTGCGGACGCGAGCGGCCTTAATTAGGCCATAAAGCCCCGCCTTCCTGAAGCCAAGCCAGTTAAATCAAAGGTTACATCACGGGGTGGGGGAACGAAAGCCGCCAGGTCCAGCCGCCTTTCGCGGCCAGCTGGTCCTTTCGCAGCGTTGTTGCATGTCGTTCCAGGACCAGCAGTCCGCGGAGGCGGCTGGACCTGGCGGCTTTCGTTCTCCCACCCTACATCACGCGATTCTGCCAACAAGACAATTGTTACGAGTCCACTACATGCCAATTGCATTTCTGTTGTGGGAGATAGTGGTGATTAGTCGTGCCGGAAAACTATCACAACCGAGATGCAAGATGATCAGCATGCAATGAACTGGACTGAAGGGAGAAGCTCGAGGCGATGAAATCGAGTGATGTATGTCCGGCACTTATAGGCAGGGTAAAGCAAGAACTTGATTTCTAGAATATTCACTTACTCAGGGTTATCTGCGACGCTGAACCCAAGGATCCAGACTAGCAAATGCGAAAACAGCGAGAACATGCGTTTCCCAAAGCCTTACAATTTGAAACAAGACGGTTCCCGCCAAGCCTGGGACGCAGAGTCGTTGGGGACCTCACGACTCTATCAGTGACGGCATGCCCGGCGGAGACGTTGGGGAACGGCTATACTATCCCAGGAGGTGAATCCTGATTCCTGTAATCCCTGCAATTCTTGTGATTCCTCAACTTCCGATGTGCCGCACTACGAAGCGCTGTGTCAATTTCAGTGCACATTGTTTGTTTGTTTGTTTTTTTCGCAATATGGATTGTTACGGGATCTGCAGGAATTGAAGGAGTTGCAGGAATCACAGGAATAGTATAGCCGGTCTAGGGAACGGCCATAGGTTGCCGCGGCAACGGTTGTCGGTGTTGTCGGGGTTGTGGTGTTGTGGTATTGTCGGGGTGAGAGACAGTCTAGAGAGCGTGCAAACGTGGAGACTATCATGAGGTCCACAACGATCGATAACCTCGGCAACCCCGACAACACCGACAAACCGACAACCGTTGCCGGCAATCTATGGCCGTTACCTCAGGTCGTCGGAAGGAGAGGTACCGCGCGGACATTTGCAACAAGCCACGCATCTTCACCATTATTGCCTCATGCTACTGTCCAATAAGTGAAGCCTATCGGGGACCTAATGTCCTCTACTCTGCCGCAGAGCAGGAATTCGAACAGGTGGAAAGTCCCGCCTTAAGGCGTTAGTTTCCCAGCTATCCGAGCATATTTCTTGCTTGTAGTCAAACGTCCTGGTCTTGCAGCTGCGCGATAGCATGTCCAAAGGGCCCCTTTCGTATGGTACAGGGCTTTACAACCTGAGTGTCCCACCCGCCCCGCTAGGACGCCACGCTTAGGTCCGCGCAGCGTTCGTGGCGCTGGCTGCGCGTCGACTGAAGCTTGGGGAAATCCGGGCGATACGCAGCAAACACCGCGCGCGGCTTGAGCGAGGCGGCCGCGTTGGAGGAGCCGCGCAAGCGAAACTTGCGACTCTCAGGTTGAAAAGCCCTGTACCTGAGTCGCAAGACCCATCTTTTCCGGACACTGCCATCTGGCGAGGCGGCGCCTCATCAAGCCACGTAATCCACGCCATGTTGAGGGAAGACATATGGGATGATGTCGAGGGTACATTAGTCACGGTCGCGGTAGGAGGTGCTGAATGGCATTACGATAGCAAGCCTTACTATACCGATACTTGCGATGGCAAGCCTAAGCAAATGTTGGAATTCGCTAAAGCGTGAAAGTGGCAATCACACTCTACATTTGTAATCAGCCATTGTTGATTTTGAAGAATCTGGTATATTGCTGAATCGCATGGCGACTGGAATCGCGTGAAGTATGACCGGGGCCATCATAACTGTTGATTTGCGATCTTGCTGCTTTGAGAATGTACGACAAGTGATATAGTGTCATGAACTAGATTCCAAACGATTCTCAAAAGTCTCAGGGAAACCTACATGAACTCCACGCCGCCCAGCAGCGGTCAGCTGCTCATAAACATGTCTTCCATATTGGGCTGTTGGATAATCAGACGAGTTGAGGTTCCAATAGAAAGCTGCGATGTGAATCGTCTCATTTGCGTTGTTGAACAAATCCAGCCACGCTTCGTGAGTATGCCGGTGAACGGGACCGCCCGAGAAATTTAGACCAGTGGGTATGCTTTCAACGAATTGTACCCTAGGTAGATGGTTCGTACCGAAATTTCCAGGGTATAGATATAAACAACTCACTTGCATGACTTGCGGCAATGTGCCGGGGTTTCTGCGTTTTCATAACTAACATAACGATCACTGTTCAGTGTGATGTAGGACAAAATCAACAAAGAGGCAAGTACGATCGCAGTTGTAATACAGTGAATCCTAGCATAACTGCAAAGATGGAAACCATTTTCAGTGATTCTTTTCACTCACTATGATCTGTGATCTTAACTTACTTTTTCTTGAACCCCGTGAGTTGCGGAATTCCTAATGGGTGAGACGCCGCCTATAACAACACTATTCAAATTACTCGATTGTGATTTTAGATTTTTACTTCTAATAGTATTTCTATACTGATCTTGCTACTGTCTGAGTACTGCGACATAAAGCCAACCCGATTTTTTGTGTGCAGACATAATTTGGTACTACAGACAAGTCACCGCTAAAAAGCTATATGTGAAAGTTACAACAATAAATCCGGCTCCTATGGGGATTGCTCAACCTTAGTCAACAAATTTGACTCCCAGCGTGCATAACAAGATCATTGTGTCATTTGTGGAAACACCGTGAATGCCAAAATCAGTTCAGCTGAGAACTTTCATAGGCCATTCTGGTTGCTGGTTACGAAGATAATACCATTCCAAGCTGGGTCGCTTTCTGGGCCGCGGTAGTGTATGGTATAAAGGCTCACCTTACTTAGCACTGAGAATTCACCCTAACAGATGCGTATGCGATACTGATTGTACGACGATATGTCAAATGATCTCCCATGCAAGAATCCAGCCTTTAATTGACTCCTTACTGTAAGGGCAGATTCTGATAAGCTCATGTAGTACTTCTCCCATGCGTACATCAATAGTCAGAGTGACGCAGAACATGAACGTGTTTGAAGTTTCCAATAAAAGGTGGAAATCCGTATATTGGCAACTCAACAATCAGATCATTGCACTAGTGATTCTAGCGTATATCCGACGTAATTTTTCGCTTATATATTTCTATATCTATTTGCAAAGATTCACGTAAACGTTGAGAAAAACAAGGATGCTATCGTCGTACCCGATATACGTTTGGCGGAGCATTTGCAGATATATGAACATGTTGGTGAACTTATCGAACCTCTACTGCAAAGCATAATTCTTTGTACTCTTTGAATTGCCACGAGTGCACCAACATGGTCAGATCTCTGCAAAAGCTTCGCCCAGCGGACATCGGGGAGGTGACACCAAAACGAGGATGTTAATAAAATTCTGAAAATTGATGTGAATAACCTACTTTATATGTTCGAGTAATTAGCAAGTTAAAGTTTCTTATCTATTCACCTTCAAGATTTCTTCCGACTGCCTTTGTTCACATCTCACAGTCATACCTAAAATTTTTTATATAATTCGCTAACCACCTCAATAATAAAACAATAAATTGCAGCACGAATCACAGTATGTAAGAACCAGAACCATGAGTAGGGGGGAAAGAACAGCAAAGAGATAGAAATCTGAGTAAGTGTATAGGAATGTGTTTGCGGTAATCATGTTATGCTCATAGGAATCAGGGCAGGGAACACGCACGCTAATCTGCGATGCTATTAACCTTAGTCTGGATTAGTAAAATAGTGCAAGAAGGCACTGAGCTAAGAATTATGCTGGCAATGATTAGACGAGAAGTACAAAAGGCATTCCCTGAGTCCTACGATTTTGCAAACAACAATTAACACAGAACCAACCTCGTAACCAAGATAGAAATCTCACACCACTTTTCGAAAATATGACCTGGACAGGCAACGATATAGGCAATTGTAAATGCCTGCATTTGATGTGGGATATAAGAAACAACAAAGAAGACTAGGAGGATAAAATGCGTTAATGGACAATTAACAATTAGCGGATTACTTATCACTTGAGAAGAGCAGAAACGACAGCGCCAATGTTAAGATTACGGAGATCCGAGTACGTCTGACCACAACCGACAAACACAATTGGCTGACCCGTAATGTAGGTCATGGAAACAGCAGCTCCAACCTTATCATCGATAGTGTCGAACTTCGTCAAGACGATACCGTCAATGAGCCGAGGCGCCGCACCTGGCGTAGCGTTATCCGCAAGCGCTTGATTGAACTTCACCAACTGATCAACGGCTTCATTTCCGACTAGCGCTTCTCCAACAAAGAGAACCAGATCGGGCTCATTCACTCGAATCAATTTCGCGAGTTCTCGCATTAGGGGCTCGTTATCCTGCATACGACCAGCGGTATCCACAAGGACCACATCAATAGCTCGTTCGATTGCAATTCCTATAGCAGCAGCTGTGAGAGAAGCCGAGTCCTTTCCGTAGCCTTGCTCGAACAGCTGAACCGAATTCGGATGAAGAGCATTGAGATGCTTAGTGTGCGTTCGCAACTGCTCCACAGCTCCAGCTCGGAAAGTGTCACCAGCAGCTATGAGAACGCGATGTTGATTTTCGTTCAGCCAAAACGTAATCTTCGCCAAGTTGGTGCTCTTGCCGACTCCATTAACGCCACAGAACACAATCACATAAGGTCTGCCTTCATGCTTCGCTTCAGCGATATCTCTCAAAATATCCACGCGGCGTTTTGGAGTGAGCAGCTGTGTGAGCGATTCTCGAACTGCTTCCTTTACCTCGGAACTGACGCGACTGAAGGTGCTCACAACTTTGCCCTCTAGTTTGCGTCCAACAGTTTGGCATATTTTGTCTGCTGGCTCGGCTGCGACATTCTTCAGAATCAAGTTCTCTCTCATTGTCTCAAGCACAGGCTGGATGTCCTCCGCGCTGAGTTTTTTGTTGCCGACGAGGTTCTTGAATGCACCAAACCAACCACCAGTAGCTTTCGCAGCGACTATCTCCTCCTCCTCTTCGCTTTCTTCATCCGAAAATCCTTGCAGCTGCGCCGATTTTCCGACAAACTTGCGCTGTTCGTTTACGAAAGCCAGATCTTCGTCATTGCGTGCACCATTCTCTTGCGGTTTTTCACCGGAATAGTCGAGTTCAGTGGCATCCTTGACATCTCCGCTCAATTCCCATACACGGGCTTGTTTGCCTTTCTTCTTCGTTTCGGGTTCTGGCGTCGTTTTCGTGGCCTTCTTCTTCACGTTCATTTTTCGAAGCAGCAGTTCTCTCCTTTTCGAGATGTCGTCCGATGGCGAACCAGGAGTGGAGCCCAGGTCACTTCCGGAATCTGTAGAAGCCGTCACTATGTCTTCCTTCAAATGCTTCTTGACTGGTTCGTCCTTCTTCTTTTGCTTCTTGTCTTCTCCAGGACGACTAACTATGATGGAGTCAATGGTTTTTTGAGACTTAGCGCTCTCCTGGAACGTGCGCGGTTTCTTCGGAGCAGTTGACTTCACGTTCATCCTCATAAGATCATCACGAATGCTGATGAATTCGCTCTCAAAATGACGAAAACATTCATACCCATGCTGGTAGAGAATCTGCTTGTTCAGAAGAACATTCTTGTACATGTCTCGAAATCGTTGACGAACATCAGTGAGAAGTTTGTCTGTGTAGGACAACTGGATCGCAGACTGGTAAATGACTACGAACACCAGCTCAAACTCATTGTCCAGTATAAATTTAATGGTGACATCGTTATACTTGAAATGAGTGACGGCACGCTCCTGAATGAGGACGTCCTTGATGAAAGCGTTAATCGCTTCAACAAAACGATCAGCTCCCTCCTGGAACGCCCAGAGGCCAAATCCTCCCTTCGTGAAGATTGCGAAAAGCTCAATCATTCGGGGCAGCGCCTGCAAGTTTGACAGTAGAGGATCGTAGCCGACCTGTCAGGTAGGGACCTTTCACAGACATTACTGAGCAACATGCTACTCTACTCTTAGACACTACAACTTAACATCAAAGGTTTATTATTGTGATGTTAATACAATTTCAAGCATTTTCTTGCTCTCGAAGATTCAGTTACAATAAAATCAGATATCATCAAAAAATTCAAAACAACAAGACCTCGCTAAACTACGTAACGAGAATGGTACAGATGGGTGAACATTGAATGAAAGTAAGGAATAAAAACTAGTTTGAGACATAGCTGACACATTCCAGACGGCAATGTGAAGTCGAACTATTCCCGACATGAGGTTTGAATATTTGAACGAAACGGGTTAAATGACATCTGCACGGTTGCAGGTGCAAAGCAATCTATTCAAAGCCATCGGCGAAGATTTATGTATAAAAAACCAATTGCAGAAGAATTAAGTAGATGCTTGCACAAGCTCCGCGAAGATGACCAACAGAGCTAAAACAGCTCAGACGCTTAACTCCACTATTCGGACCTCAACGGCACGATAATAACAAGAATGGAATAATGAGACCTGATAACTCTACAGAGCTATATGTACAATAACAGGATACATGTGAGTTAATGTCTACATGAAACCCTCATGACTTTTCGGAATCGTTAGTAATTAAGAAAAAGCCAAACAGATCAAACGATACTTCAAGAATATTGAAGCAGGCGCTAAGGCAGTCACGAGGTTAGACATAAACCACAATATTCCTTAAATATTTAGAAACAGCGAGAAATCAAAATGCAACGGCATAGATCATATCAACAACAGACATAGAGTTATGGAGGAGTACCTGGCAGAGATTATTCAGATACTGAGGCGAATCCGCGATTATTGGAGAGGTGGGCTTTGCCTTTCTGAAATATAGTTGGATTTGAGGGAGGGAAAGCTGGAAGTTGTCCACACCTATTTAGTCATCGGCAGCCCTTCCCCTCTTTTTGGGCGGAAGATTATGATCGGTGCCAGCGGCGCGCTTCTTTTTTGGCATGACCTAAAATGAAAAACTTTTTCAATCAGTGAAAACAAAATAATCGTCAAGGCCTACCTCATCACCGCTTCCAGGTTCAGCGCCATCATCTGACTTTGAGTCATCGTAAACTACTTCGTTGTCATCTTCATCTTCAGAATCATCACGTCGCTTCCCCTTTGGTGTAGTAGTAGCAGCAACTCTGCCACGTCCGCGTCCTCTTCCACGACCGCGACCTCGCGCGGCGCCTCGCTTCTTCTTACCAAACTCCTGCAACTATACCGATAAGGTTTGTGTAAATCGCTCAGGTAAGCAAACATACTACATCATCTTCGTCGCTGGCCGGCTGGTCGCTATCACTGTCGGATGCACCACGTTTTCCTCGTCCTCTGCCTCTACCACGTCCACCACGACCGCGTCCAGCCTTAGAAAAAAGAAAACCTTGTGAACAATTCTTGCAAACAAACCAGTGAACGTACTCGAAAAAGCTTGCCAGGAATTTCATCATCTACCTCAGCTAGGACAGTGGATGTATCTGGATTCGCATAATCGACTCGTGTAGATGTAGAACGCCGAGGCCGCGACGACGCTATTGATGACGGCTATAACAAACAATATATTTAGGTTAAAAAGTGTGAACGAATCATCACGGACCGCATCTTCAGAAGGCGGTGCAGGAGCGCGTGGAGTGCGGGGAGCACGAGGAGTAGCGGTGCCTGTTGTTCCTGCTGGTCTTCCTCGTCCACGACCACGACCTAAAATGAGAATATATGAGCACTTAGGCAGAGGCATACATGACAGATGCTTGGCAACAAAGGACTTACCGCGTCCCCTTCCTCTGCCTCCTGCACTATTTGTAACAGCAGGAGATTCAGAGTCGACTTCCTTTGGTTTCTCATTTTCCGCTGGTGCCTCCTTGTGTTCCTCGTCCTCTTCCATTGGCTCCTCCGCCTTATCCTAAGGTAGATGCCATGGGAAAGATGTTATTGCACGTGATAAGCAACAAACCTTGTCAGCAGGAGTAGCTGCTTCTTTGGGCTTTTCTTCTACTTCACCTGCCCCCGTCTTACTCTCTTCTGGTTTCGATTCCTCAGCGGGAACTTCTGGAGCAACGCGAGCTTCCTCAGCGGGAGCCTGAGCATCTTCCACAGGTTCTGCAGCAGCTTCGGATGGCTGCAAATGTCACAAGTAATGATTTTTTAACTTGATGTAGTTCAAAGAAAGATGATAGTGAGATACACAACAATGATAGGAAACGCACCTCTTCAGCTTCGCCAAGTGCTGCAGTTTCTTCTGCTTCCATGAGTTTTTCTGCCTCTTTCTCCCTCTGAGCAGCGTCTGCCTCTTTAGCCTGTAATCTCTGTGATTCGAGGTCGGTATACAGAATACAAATAATGAGTCTTACCTTGGCTAATTCATCTTCCTCGACGACTTCCCATTTTTCCGTGTCACTGTCACCCTTTTCTTCTTGTGGTGGAACATCACCAGCAGCCTTCGCCTCACTTGCTTCAGCGGGTTCGGATGTGTCCATCGGAGTTTCCTGAAGTTAAGCACGTTAAGAAAAATCGAACAAGATGTTGAACAACTTACCTTCTCAGTACCTCCTCCCTCTGTAGGTTCAGTCGCTGGTACGGGATCAGATGGTTTATGAGTGTCAACGGTATCTTTTCCATGTCCATTAGAATCACCATTTGGCACAGATGATTCTGTAAGGGGAACTGGGTTCTCCTGTTCTGAAAAAAAAACGAGTCGATCACCATTAATACTAAGGTTGCGTTCATACTGATTCCGAAGTTCGGGAACAGTTCCAGCACAGCGCTTGAATGAGCGCTGTGCTGGAACTGTTACCGAACTTCCACTTCAGTATGAACGCAGCCTAACAGAAGAGCTTAAGGCTAGGATATAGCTCACGCAATCTCTCGCCTGGCGATTCTCCCACAAGACAACTCTTACAAGTCCATTACATGCCGCTCATCTTGCATTCCATTCCGGTTGTGATAGTTAGCCACGATCGTTAAAGCTTCTCAACCGAAAGGCAAGGTGATCGACATACAGTGGACTCGTAACAGTTCAGTTATCTTGTCGGGAAAATAGACGAGGGAATCGCGTGAACTATGCCCGAAGCCTAAGGAAATACTTTCGTTGTGATCTCAAGCTGATAAGGAAACAGCATGAAACACACTCTTGAAAAAAGCAATAACTAATAAGCGAGACAGAAAATCATTAGATCAGTGCAGTTCGCAAACTGCTGCACTCAGCATAAACAAGCATCAGGCTTGGTTCTGACAACGCTTTGTATACGAATTGTCAAAGATTTTACGTTTCTCACAGTTACCATCTTCTATTTAGGTGAAAGTGAAAAAGAAAATGCAAGTCCACATGCCTGTTTTCGTAGAAAGGGAAGCGGAACATTTTCTTGATATTATTTTCTTGCTTGTGAAAGAAAATTCTGAGCAAAATCTGCTTATGCTACCAATGTGATAAGCAACAACGTCAGACAAAGGGAAGAAATGTGAATCGAAACGCCATGCTATAGACAGAAAAGCTATGACAAACAAGCTAAATAAAACCCACCTGCTGTTTCTTTTACTGCAGCTGACTTCTGCACTGTTTCCTCTTTATTATTAATAGTCGGTATCTGCGCTTCCTCAGACATGGTGTAAAATGCGCACTGAAAAACCAATCGGGCAATAAGCCAACTACATTTAAATATAAAGAGAAACTCAAACAAACAACGGAAATAAAAGCATGAGATTTTCCAGGTAAAAACATGACCAATCGATCCGAACACGAAAAAAAACCTGTTTGCACATGCAAAACTGCGTTCATTTAGAACAAACAAATACGAATATCAATACGGACGCCAAAATAAACGCGGCGCGAGCGGTTGCGTGCGTACGCCTGCGCGTCAACTCCACAACGTTTTTGTCGATACGCAGTAATTTGGCGTCATCGCGTTCAGACGCGTTATCGCCATGGAATCGTGCTTGGTCAATGATGGTCAACCTGTGAGTCTTTGTTGTTCTGGGTCGGTAGTTGCCTTTCACAGCAAGTGTTGGTCGAGTACTACACAGGAACCGGCATACGTCCGTTTCTGGGCTTTTTGAAAACGAAGTTCCCCTTGACTTTCCCCAGAATACACGGTCCCCTTTGACCCCAAACCATATCTGTAAAAAACCCTCGGAAAACGAAACGTCGGTAAAGAAAAACGCCGCACTTTTTTGCGTCTCTTTGGCCACAGAAAATGATATCCCCTTTGCTTATTCGCCCCGAAAACAAAGCCCTGCTCGTTTCCATACGATCGGACCCTGGTATACTTCTCCGCTAGACGTTATTTGGATTCTTCTCAGTGGCCATACGTTCTTCTCACCCTTCAGTGCGACACCTCTCGAGTTCACCAAGATGTCAGCGCTTCACCAAGCCAGTCCAGTAGAGGTGTCGTAAGCCTATCGCTTCAAATTGAAACTAGAAACAAGGTGTTGAGGCTGTTTTCTGAATATAATGGGTAAATCAGAAGCTGTACGGACGATATTAAAACGCCCCGAGCGGCTTTTTCGAATCCTATTCAAAGCCATATGGCTCTTAAACCGCATCAGTATTGAGCATTGTGAGTGTTATTATAATGACAATTAGTGTTGCTTGACTTGGAAGGAAAAGGATTTCAATCTGGCAATCGTATTGCCAGCTAACATGCTTTTCGACGACAAGGAGGCAATGATAGAATTTGATTTGTTGGATGAGTGGTACGTCGTAATTTGCGAAAAAAAAGGGATTTCATTTGTCAGATTTGTGGTAATAGCTAGTCGTTGTGGTGTCGATGTGCTATTGTTAGCGGCAACCAATTTTTTCTGAGAAATTTTAATTGCTTTCTCATTTACTTATGATGCAAACCTTACATATAACTCAATCACAATACTTCAAAAACCAGTTAAGACATTCTATTAAAGACTCGGGTAACCTCGTCTGCGGTAGACTCCCATGGCCCGAAATTGCGAAAATCGCCTGACCTTGCTCAGGCTTTATATAAATGTAAGTCACGTGACAGCATAGTGCGAGCTCGTGACTTGTTTTCGTAATTTGCAATTTTCGAAAATCCGTTTCACGATGAGTCATCGTTGGAGTCCACGAAAACATCACGTCGGCAGCATATGAAGGTGCTTGCCCCACGATGGCAAAGCATAAGTGCATAGGTTGGTATCGAAACGTTGCACTTCATGCACTTTTGCAAAAATATTTGTACTTTCAAGGAGACGTTCATCCAGATTGACGACTTCCGCATTGTGGTGTTATTCCTGGGCCTTTGGCCCTTCTCGTTGTGATAGTGGCACAACCCTTTCATCACATAGAATCGTGCGTGTATTGCTGCATATTTTGAAACAGTAAATGTGTAATTGGCAAGGTTTCAACAGTAGGGAAATACCATCGATAGACCAGACAAGACGAATTTTTAAAATTGATGTCTGGGCCTACTGAGGCGATGATTTTTAGTGCTTAGTGGTTCAGCGTAATACGTTCATGGACCTTCCGACTGATTCATTGCTCTCAAATTGAAAGATAAACTCAAAAATTCTTACTTTTTGAAAAATATTGACAGCTTGGGACGTAGATATCCCATTTTCGCGAATTCGAGAAGCGAATTTAAATGAGAATTTTCTCCCGGTCTGATTAGTGCTGGGTTTGATGGGAGGTCCCATCTCTAGGCATTTTGTTAGAATCAGTATCTAAGTTGCGTGAAACGGAGGCTCGATCAGTTTTGGGTTCATCTCAACTTTCTTTTTTTGTCGTATTTCTGGCGGATCATGTCTTTTTTCAATTAACAAATAATGGAAACGATCCTATTCCGTCTTTTGTACCAGCGTAAGTTTGTGAAGTTCTAGAGGACCCGGCAAGCGTTGGTCTGGAGCATTTTTGGGAACGAAGTCCCCATGACTTGGCGAAAGTTTACGAAGTCCCCTTTGACGTCAGAACAGTGGGGGAAACTCTTATTCAATCAACATAACAACAAAAAGCGAACAAAGCGTAACTTTCTAGTACTCAGTGTGCCGGAAACCTGCTAAGCCAACCAAACTCTAGCTCCACAATTTGGCGATGCATTTTTCGCTGCACAGTTTGAAACCGCCGCATGTGATTGGAGCGCGATATCTAACAGGGAGTAGGTTTATGTTAATTTTGGCTCAAAAAGGGGAGACAATGGTTTGATTCGCTCCGTTCACTTCATGAAGTTTTTCGAGCGTTCTAATCGTTCAAATCAAAAGGTTCGAAACTTATGTCAACTCTCCGATAATCATGCCTCGAACCAACCCAGTTGGTTTGGTGTTGGTCTAGAAAGCAACCAGTTCGGGAGCGGGTATTAGGAGACGTAAGTTTTTGAAACTTTTACCCAGTGTTGTTCGGAGTAATATTGTATACACATAGCCGAAATTTGGTACCATGTTGTTGTTTGTGTAAACAAGCCATATGTTTGTTTGAATCTTGCGTTTGAAATTCGCGCAGTTGCGAAAGAATGCGTCCAACTCGTAGAACCTAACAAAAACGAAGCCAGTCGATTCCAGACCCTCTGTGCTGCCGGGCCCTGGTTCTAATGAAGTCAGCCGATTCCAGACCATCTGTGCCGCCGGGCCCTGGTTCTAGTCTTTGGTTCAGTAAGATTTCAGTCAAACTTGATGCAGAAATGTGAGCTTGAGTTTACCCACATTCATCTTTTTCTCCTAACTCGTGATTTCTTGCGAAAGTTCACTGTTTATTACCTAACTTTCTAAATGAACTGGAGGTGAAACAAAGCGAAGTAATATTTTGCAAAGCATCTGGTAAAATGTTTGTATGCGAAAGCTCTAAGTTTGCTTTACCAAACTCATCATTATTTTCTTGAATCTTAAAAAGTTGAATGAATTCGATTACAAACCGAAAAACTCGAAAGGGCGAAAATCTTTTGACAACTACATATCTACGCATAAAGGGTATGCTTCCTCTAAAATTGTCTCAGTTCAAAATGATTCTTGAGAACTATCTTCTTTCGCCATAGTTCCTTATATGATTGTTAGGCCTTTCTAGTTTGTTGTGTTGATTTGTGTTGTTTATTAGATTTTGTGTTCTGTTGAATGTGATATGCATAGGAAATTTCTACGCAATAAATAATAATAATAATAATACGCTGCATCGCAAATAGGTTCGAAAGCATAAAAGCTCAAAGAGTCTGCGACATGTATGGATAGGATGCTGTTCTTCCCCTTACAAGTGTCAAAATTTCTCAAAAGTCTATATCACAAGCTTGAAGATAGGCTGCTTTTTGATGTCTCTTTGGCGTCAACGTCAGGCATGTGAAGGCACGGATGGTCGCCGAACATTACAGAACAGGCAAACAAGGGGTCTCTGATCATAAAGACATTGAATGCGTGGATTACTTCAAAATTCAGTTTTGGGGGACACACAAATCAAGTACGCGAAACGACGAATGCCTCTGAGGCAAAGTTTTGCGCCGCCGACTTTTGCAAAGCTGGTATTATAGGCAGTGTCCTGCCAAAACTCGATTTTGAGATTTTGGGCTTACCCGGGTCTATTCGCTACGCTGAATCCGAAAATGCACATTGGAAAGCGCGAAAACGGCAGAAAAGGGCTTTAATGCAGGAAACAGCGAGTGGGCGGGTCTTCCCCACTGTGAATTCACGCTCCCGGCTTCCGGAGCGATCTTCTGTCTTCCGGTTTTAAATCAGTCATTCGCACTTGGCCGGTAGCGATGTTAGGACGGCTAGCGAAATTGAGAAGGCCGACTCCGGAAACTGGGAGCGTGAATGCACAGTGGGGAGGACCCCGTCCACTTGCTGTTAGGCACGGGTAAGTCTAAAATCTCAAAATCGAGTTTTTGCCCGGACGCTGCCTTTAAGCGGTCGGTAAAAGGAAGTGAGCAAGCGTAAACAGTGACAATAAGAGCAAAGGATCTGTCGTTTTTAGATGTTGTCAGACTTTTTGGAGTAATCGAGTTCTCTTTTCTTGAAATCTTGGCGGATAGTATGGCAAAGCCTGCACTACGCGAAACTACATCATGTGCACGACTGGAAGCTGTTTTAGTTGCGGAGTAGGTACCGTTGGAGTGACAGGGTCGTGCCATTTACGTGGGAGGGACCTGGCGGCCACTTAGTGTAGTATTAATGAAGATCTGGCTAGCAAAAGAGAGCAGAGCCTCATAAGTTTTTAAAGGAAACGTAGAAGGCAAGGTCACAGTGGAAAAGGTTTGGAAAACATTTGTGGTACTAGCCACAGAAGAGTATATCTGGACTCGAAAAGCGTTAGAGGATCCTATATCCTTGCTCGCAATCCCGAGATCAACAGCAAAAACGAGCAGCTTTCTAAAACGAGTGGTTTGAGGCCTTTTTGCCATATTGTAAACTATAGCGGCTTACAATATGAGCTTGTGCACATTCGTGGAACAACATATTGTCATCTTCGTATACAGACGACCGGCAGTGTCACATAGCTTACGCTGTGCCCTTTTAAAGAGTGAGAACGTCAACTTGTTGAAAAGAACGTCAACGTCAACCTTACCACGGCTACGATAGGTAAGTCAAATGTACGAGATGGAGTGAGCTCACCCAGAGCGTTTGGTGGGAGAATTGAATCATTTTCAGGTCTCTGAAGACGGCGTAACGCCGAAACGTAAGGCATCAATAGGGGTGTTCCAGTCCAAATCTGTTGTGGCACAATAACTCAACAATGTTGTCAGGCCTTTTGAATATACAGGGCTCCTAAATTGCAGAGTCGTTTGCACCAGCGGTCGCGCGACCGCGTCGCGCCCGGGCATCACTGGCGCCGCCTCGATCGATGGCGCTGGCGCCGGCAAAATGCCCAGGCGCGACGCGGTCGCGCGACCGCTGGTGCAAACGACTCTGCAATTTAGGAGCCTTGTACTTTATCAGTGATTAGCTCGAAAAAGTAAGAGAGAAAAAGATGTCGAAAATGGAGTTTTCGCTTTTTCGGGTTTTCGGTTTGCAGTCGAACTTTTTGTTCAGCTCCTCAAAAAAGAAAGTAACGACAGTGTTTGGGTAGAGCAAAGTTAGAGCTTCCGAACGCTTACAAACATCACGCTAAACGCTCTGCAAAGTATTGAGAAAAAAAAACAAGAAATGCGAACCAAGTTATTACACAACTTAATAATCGAGTTGAATTGCTGTTCTCATTCTGATTGCAGCACCTTTTATTTTTTCCGATATAATAAATTTGGCAGGTAAAATAGGAGCTGGCAGCTTTGTAGAATCAAACACTCATAGCGTTGTGAAGAATTGTCAGCTGGCGCGGTCTTCTCTGTCGATACTATTCATCGGCATGATCTGATGAATTCCAATACAGCAAGTCACAACCTCCACGTTCACTAATCAGGTACATTTGTACATTTAAGAGCGCTATACTTGTGCGGGTCTCCTTCAGATGTTAGTAAAATTCATGGGAATAAGTGTTGGCTTACTCAATGGACATCCATTCACTTTTTTTTCACAATATTCACCCCCTCTCACATCTTTCAAGTTGATAATATTAAGCTAGCGTAACATTTGGGTAACCAAAATCACGCACAACTTCATTCGAGTTCCGAATGATTTTGAAGTGTTCCCGGGAAGGTTTATGCGGTTAAAAATTTTTAGGCAATGTAACCTCACTTAATTCTTATTATTTTCTATGCAGCGCTGCCTCTGGCACCTCTTTACTGCCTTTTGGAGATCATTTATTTTATTTTTTTTATTCCATTCAAAGCGCTCTAGGTGCGCTATAAACAAACCGTTGACAAAGATAATCAATTGCTAATAATACACTACCACACTTCCATTTCCTAAACTAGCTCTTGTTGCAGACCCAACTGAAGTCACTGAAAAGTAGCTAGAGTGACAGATGCCGACTTTAACGGGTCGGATAATGAAGATGATTAGTATTGGGGAATGCTACCGCCCTAAGAGTAGTATAAGCTTCGAGGGCGTCCATCCAGATACACCTGTATTACAATTCAAGCGAATAGAACGTTAAAAAAGACATGGCATTCGAATCATGTAGAAAAGCAGCTCATGAAGGGCAAATGGAGGTGTGATAGGTCAAAGGAAACCTATTGAAAGTTAGTAATAAAAAAACACCAGACAATAAAGTTAGTGGACAGTAATATCAACGACCACAAATGGTGTGCGACTAGCGGAAGAAAACTACCAGGAGTCTGAAAAAGAAAAAAGCAGAAAAGGGGGCAATAGCTTTCTGATTTTTTAACTTGCAATAAACCCATTTCATCAATCTTACGCTTGAAAACGGCTACGCTCTGTGCTGATAAAACGGAAGAAGGCAATATGTTAAACCATCTGGATAATATTTGAAAAAGGCTGTTGAACAACAAAAGGAAACGTTTTTTGATTCGTTATTGAGTGTTGAACCCATCCATCCTGCAATTGGTCTGGAAATCCAGTATTTGCTTGCATTTAGTCTAAGCTGTTGTATAGAACGGAAGGCAAAAATGAGATCAAGGTATATTCTTCTTTATTTTTAATGCAGGGAGTAAACACGTTCAAATGAAAGAATGAATCACAAATGAAAGGAGAATGAAAAACGTTGTGAATTGGTTGACCGGGAGTTATTTATAGTAGCGATATCTTGGTCTAGATTGTGAGCGCTTGCGGACGTTTTCAAGAAGATTGAGATTATGTAGTTGCGGTAGTCTTTCATGAATAACATCATCAGTAGTGGGTTGAAGAATGGATAAAGAGCATATGATATCCCTACCCAGTCCGTCAAAATAGGGTTAGATGACGCTGGGGTCAAGAGTTCTACGTAGACCAGCGTTGCAGGAATATAGAGAAGTACAGTTGGGCAAATTGTCTGAAGTAAATGAATGCGCTTTGAATAAGAATTGGACTAATTCTGTCTCTCAGGAAAAGAGCTTACCTGAAGAAGTAGCATTTGGAATAATTGCTTTTGTAATTTTCTTGTGCGTTCGCTCAGAGACGCTGCATTTAGCCTTTTTTGTATGCTCACAGCAAAAAATACACCAATCAAGGATTCTGAGGACAGTAGAAGTACACAAACAGCAAGAAGTGAAATTATAACGGGATTAACGCTGTGCTGAACAAACGCATATTGCATCTCCCATGAATTATTTCAGTAAATAAAGAAACGCACCTCCAGTGAGAATCCAATGAAACCTTTGGTAGTAAAATCTTTTAAGTGCAAGGGATTTTCTTCGTACACCTTCTTTTTGAAAATTGCGTTTGGCATAGAGCATTCTGCAGCTACAATGAAGCAGTTGAGAAATACAAGAAGATTTACAACAATTAGGAACGCTATCCATTTTTTGGAAGCGTAAATGTACGAGAACCTAAATCTGCAGTCGGTTTGTGCATTCGTATAATCCAAGCTGAAGTCTATCAAAACTCACTGGCAAACTTGCACATAACGATATGCAAAACTGTTAATCAGTATCAGTATCGAGGTTATCAAAAACACAAAGAATGTCAACGTAAGGCATTCAGCATATGGTGTTGTGTCAATCAGCCCTGTTGCGATATAAACGATGTAAGAACCTTTAGTTATTATATGCTGAAAGTTCAAATTCATCTCCGTTAATAATATGTTGCGCGCTTACCCTTTGTTTTAACTGGATTGGCGGTTGGAAGGCTGGGCTTCGTGATCTAGTTAAGGCTAGAGAATGATCAGAAAGCGATAGAGACGCAGACTGCGCCGTTGGCGCGCGGCCTTAATTAGGTCACAAAGCCCCGCCCTCCAGCCGCCAATCCATTTGAAGGTTACGTATGATATGGAAGGGAAGAACTTACTGGTGCAGTTAGATGTATGCAGATAGAAGCGCACAGGTCCTGAATAGCCGTAATGAGGAAGAAATACTTGTAAGTTTTTATGTGTTTTATAGGGCATCGATAGTAGAGATAGATTAGTATAGTATTGAAGAGGGCGGCAAGGGCGGATATTCCAAAGACTGTGATAGAGTATAAGGTGAATTGCATCTGAACCAACATCGCTACATAGGCTAATGGTCCTTACAAACGAATAATTGTAACGATGTATGAGAATGGAAGGAATTTCTGAGGTTTGCTAATCGATTCATGGTATAGCTGAGCTCCAGTCCCACTGAGCAGAAGAACCCCTTACTCTTTAAAAAAACGGGTTGCGGAGTATTAATCTTGACGAAACCGTCGGGACCCCGTAAATTGGTTTGAAACCTTTACAAAATCGGAGTGGTTTTTGGAAAGCCAGTGATACAAGATTCGGGAAACCATAAAACGTTTTGAAATTGAATCATCGACAGGATCATTGAAGAGCCGCGAATGGAAAATCGCAACGAAACCGTCGCACCCCAAAGTTTCTGCTCAAATATTTTTCTCATTTTTGGTTGAGATTTCAACAATCTCGGTCTGTGGTCTCTTTAGAAATACGAGTGGGAATGTGAAAAATCTAATTTCTGTTGAACTTTGAGCATGCAACGATTTAATCGCAAATTTTTCGTCGCGGCGATCCAATAAATTCCTTGTCAATCGGAATAAAACAGAATGAATGATGTTTTTTTTTTTGAATTCTTGCATCATTGGCTCTCCAAAGACCACCGACTCATGAAAACCACTTTGAACCAAGTTATTGGGTCCCGACGGTTTTGTCAAGGTGCCCAAGGGTTGTATTGTATCTCAAGTAATGAGGCTGAAGTAGTTCATCCTTTTGAGCACAAATACTCCAGTAAGTTTGTGCTATATGTTGTAAAACACTGCGCTTATTGCAGGATTACAAGTAACAGAGATATTGTCAATGCAAGAAGTATTTTCGACCAAATCATACGTCTATTTGTTGTCTGGACTACGCAAATTCAGTTTAGTTGTTTTCTTACAACGATATAAAGATAGGAATACGAACAAAAGCGATTAGGATATGTATAAACGCAAACCATGCTCAGAACTTTATGCATATAGTGTTTTGACTTCTCTTTGTGTTTCTGCGAAAGGCAAACATAACATTAGTCTACGCAGGCGGTATCAAAACGTCACTTCTGTGGCAGCTTATAAGAAGGAAAGTTAGTGGAAGTAGACTTTTAAGATGAGATGTGTGCTTCTGTGAAGGGCATGGAACGCTAATACCAAATCTGACTGCCTTATATGCTGCGTTTTTCTGGGACAGGAGTAAGAGTTTTTAAGAGCAAAAAAAAAATCAAATGCGCAGAAGTCCACTCTATCTCAGTTTGAACGCTAGAAAAACCTGACGACCGATTTCTTACTAATCATTCATCCGTATTTTTGCTCACAAAAGCCTTCATATCCCCTCGTTTATTTGGAGATAAGAAAGAAAAGATAGAAAGATAAGAAAGGATTTGGAATCAGTGTTTCTTGCCTTCCAGAATAGTATACATTCCGTATTGAAAAGCCGCTCCGACTAACTTTCCTTCCTTTGTTAGACGAAGCTTATGTTATGACAGGAGGAACTTTATCAGTGGTTAAATAAAATCTAGTCTTGTCCAAAGACCTGTGTATAACACATGCTAGGTAATGGGTGCTTTGTATACTTCCGCAGACGGCAGAAGTGACTTCTGTTGATCAACAACTTGCAAAGAGGCAAGTCAACTTATTCTTTGCACCTATTAAAGGAGGTGGGGGCAAATTGATGGTTGTGGGATTTTGATCTAATATTGAATCCCAGTTTGGTGAAGGATGTGCACCAAAAACGATATGGTTGAGATTCTGAAAGTAAGCGTCGCTTGAGAAATTAGGTGCGATAGAGGCACTTCTGCTTAATAAAGTGGGTGGTGTGAAGCAATTTCCTCGCTTCCTAATGTTTTTTACAGCGGGTACCGGCGATCACATGATTAGGGACCCCACTATTGTACCGCAATCTCGCCACTCTCAGTACTGAAACGATATCTACTGACGAGGTGCGCATGCACATTCTGACCACTGTGAGCTAGTCATTCAGAAGTCGGAACTCTGCCACTTTAGTCCGCCTCCGTGGACTTCCGCTTCTCAAACGATATACTACAGCATCGCAATAGGACTAGTTGTCTGCGGCAATTGCCCAAAATGGCGGAGTTTGTTCCCAGACCCGAAGGAGGCAAAGAAAATCATCCTGACGTTTTTTCCCGTCAGCGCAGAAATGGCGTTTAGCAGTTGGTCAAAGGTACGGCGGTAAACAATCAAAACGGTCATATCCCAATATCTCTTGGATAAGTCCGCCAATAGCTTAGAATTTGAACTTTGAAAGCATGTAGGGTTTCCGCCAAACTGAAAGTAGGACTTGCCTTGTCAGTCAAACGTGGAAAGCTTTTCAACGACATCTTAACAGAGGACGATGACGAACTTTACGAAAACGTCAGTGTGCTAAGGTGGACTGAAACTGAATCATACAATGGGCTTGAACCAAGCCGAACGCTATTGGGAATAGCTCAAAAGAACTTGAAAGTGTTTTACAGCCAACTTTTTTCGCGATTTGTGGAAATCACGGAATTTCGAAATGAAGTTCAACCATATTCACAAACACACTGTATGAGCTTCAAGAGTTAACTGACAGCTGGTGCATGCAATTTGAAGGCACTTCCTTTTTTGAAACCCAAATCTTTGAAGCTAATTCTTGTCTAAGCAGAGAGGAGAGAAGTTTTGATATCATATATTGCTCCTGGTCAACTCCCACCTTCCCAGCTCAAAATGCAGAATATCGATAAAATTGATATAGACAATCGGTTATGGACGTCAATATTTGCTAGCATGTTCACTTATCCCCGCTCCTGTGCCAACTTCCAGCTCCGATTGAGAGTCTGCTAAAAAATCAATAAATAAATTCCTAGATACTTAGATGTGTGTTGTAGCGTGCCGGTCATAGCACAGAAGTTGCCTGGTTCCCTGTCCCTCGCTTCTGACATTCGCAATCTTCCTGATGGTCGTCGGTGCATCCGCCCTTTCAGGTGTAGTATTCATATAGAGGTAATTTCTCAGCTGGCCACCGTTCCACGAACACATTTGCCCATCTCGTTGTAAGTCTTCTTTGACGACATTGCTTCGCTAGAAATCCGCTCTGAAGTACTTAATGCCTATCCTGTTCTTGTTGTGATGTGACCGGCCTACCGATGTTTCTCGCGATGTGTTTCGCTGGGTTACGATCGACGTGGTCTAGTGTCGGTGCAAATCTCAGCTGCGTAGCAGGGCGAGCGTCGGCGGGAAAACGGTTGAGACCAGGGTCAAGCGTGTTGATGCGATCCTGGACCCTCATTTACGACCTCTCCCCCCTTCAAGGTACCCATCCGTACGACTCCTCCCCTCCTTCCGCCCCCCCCCCCACACTCCCCCATCTATCCCCCTTACCTCCCCTGCCCACATTCCTCGAGGTAACCTGCATAAATGAATTCTCAAAATACACCTGCGTGAGAACTTCAGTGAGGTTTCGGAAGCAGAATTTCTAGGTCAATGGGCGCGCTCAGCATCTGCAGCACACAGACACACCTTCAATAATTTGCAAGTTTTTTTGAATTTTCAGGCATACTTCAGGCCAGCAAATTCGATTCCCATATGCGACACAAATTTTTACACGGAGAAAAAAAATGACATTTTTGAGCTACAAAAAATGTTTTCGACTAAGAAGCTTACTTCCTACCTCTTCCACAGTTTTTCCCGCGAAAAAAAAACCGCTTCAGCGCCGTCCAGAACGACATCAAAAACGTGCATGAGCACGGTAGTTTGAAAATTCGTAACTAATGCCAGGAAAAGACTGAGAGGCTGCAAATAACAGGTTCTGTAGCATAGTGCCCAAACTATTCATAGAGAAAGTTTCAGCCCTTGAGGAGCAGTGAGCTCGAAAAAATTTGGATGCGACTCTCGCAAATTTAGATGCGATCCTAAAAAGCAAAAACAGGGTTTTTCGGGCTTAAAATTTTGTAACTTACCAGAGAAGTTTTAAAACCGCCTGAAATTTTTATGAGGGAAAGTAGGAGGATGGGGGATGGCCTCATATTACAGCAAGATTGCAGCCAACAAGCTTCGATAGCCCCGAAAAAATTCAGATGCGACCCAGATACGACCCCCCTTTTCTCATTTTTTTGCTGCCATACATAAAATATAAGAAAATCCACAGTTGAGAAAATAACACCAAATTCCGCACTGATATAGCAGAGCATCTTCGAAGTACAGATGAATTATATGGGCCCGTGAAAAACATTACAAAAAGATTTAGAAATTTATGATGGTCACAGCTGGTAAAGATATTCGCTTTTGTTGAGTATGTGAGACTTCAGGAAG